CATGCCTGCAGACGAGTTCGTCGCCATGGCCTCGGACCCCAACGTACTAGGCAACCCTCTCCTCAAGACACAGCACTTCATCGGCGGCACGCGGTGGGAGAAGACTGCAGAGGACGAGATTACCGGGTACCACCAGCTCCGTGTGCCCCATCAGAGGTACACCGATGAGTCCCGCACCAAGGTTGCCGTCAAGGGCCATGCCCACAGCTTCAACACGCACTGGTACAAGAAGATCGACGGCGAGTGGAAGTTTGCTGGACTGAACCCGGATATCAGATGGTTCGAGTACGACTTCGACAAGGTGTTCGCCGAGGGCCGTGAGCAGCTGGGCGAGGCCAAGGCTGCTGCTGGCATCCCAGAGAAGGTCCCTGGCCAGGCGATGTAGGATAGGATAGGAATCTGCTTACTAAGATACCACTACGAATGATAGAAGACATTATTTGATATTGCTCAGTCTGGTGTACGTGTTCACGGCGATGTTTAATGGAGGCCTTCACAGCTCCACAAGCGCAACGGTCGTGATATGTGTCTGTCGAGCTGGTTGGATGCAGGCCTCAGCGGCCGGCCGTCTAGCTGCAGGCGGTGGGACCACTGAGAGAGGATGGAGGGGCCCATGGCGGTACAGGTGTGTGATTCGACCGGCGCAAAACTGCGCGGCTTGAGTACAGAGTCCAGCGATGCGGCGCGAGCATGGGTGAGATATGGATTGGAAAGGCTGCAGACTGCAGAGGCTCTCGGTGAGGCACCGCCCCGCACATTGCGAAAGCCCGGTGACGACTTCTGGCTGCAAGTCATCTACGCGGCCAGGGGTGGGTCGCCTATTAATAACGCAGAGCAGATCGCACGCAGCCGGCACCGTTCTTCATCTGGTCGATGCCAGCGTGGCAGCCGTGTTGAGCCTCTGTAGCGAGATGCGATGGGCCACTCGCAATGGAGCCGCTTCATCCTTGGGTCGCGCAATCCTTGTATCGATCGAAAGCTTAAACCTGCACTGGTCTACGCCATCCGCGTCCCCAGGTTCGCGCAGTCATCGCTACCAAAACCAAGCGAAGTAAATCCTAGCGGATTCTCGGCGCCGTACATCATCTGCAGTTCTTCGCTCTTCTACCGACCCCGCCCACCGACCGACCTTCCTCCCACACTGCCCAACACTCGCCGTCGTCGATCGTCTTTCCTCTCCGATTTCTCGCGTTTGTGGTGTTTGGATCTCATCTGCTTCTCCAGTTCGCCGGTGTCCTTGAGATTTTTCGGTACGTATATCTCATGAGCAATTTTCATCTCGTCTTGGCGGGCCGCCCACTGCACAATTTCGTGCACCGGGGCATGGGAGCTGCGGACTGCACAATCAATTCGGCCACCGCCCGTCTGCTACGCCATGTGCGTCCATCGCCTACTGACGTCGTCGCCTGCACGGACTTGGTCGCGCGGCCTGCAGCAGCGCGGCCACCAGCCCGAGCCAGCGTCGCGCATCCCGACGCGCTCTCACTGCCGTGGGTGTTGCGAGCACCTGTCGTGACATGGGCCTCGTGCGCCCGCCGCATGTGATGCCTGACATGAAAACTACGGTACTGACCCGCCCACTCAGATTTCGTTCGAGCTTCCTCACGGTCACTCCTTCGCTCTCCCTCACCCACACCCACTCCTTCGTGCGCGACCTGGAGTTACTGTCGCCGCTTTTCCCGACTATCTCCTAGGCGTGTTCCTTGGCCTGTACTCTCTACTGCCTCCGCGACTGCAGTGATAGAAGGAGCCGGATCTAATCGGTAAGTGCAGCCTGCCACCCTTCCAGCTCCTTCACCCTGCTCCCGCTGCCTGACCTCCTGCGCGCACACTCACCGGAACTAACAATTGCTTTTTCTGCGCAGACTATATAAACGACGCTACGGTTCTCTATCATAATTAGAGCTCATACCCTTACTCCCCACCTCCGCTAGCTCAATCGACTACCCCGCTTGATCTATCAGTCATGTCTTTCAACAACAGCTACGGCGACCAATTCCAAGGCCAGCCCCAGGGCGACATGAACAACCAGACCCCGCAGCCCGGCGACATGGGTCAGCCCATGGACGCTTCCGGCAACGGCTTCCCACCCCAGGGCAACATGGGCCCGCCAGGCAGCGCTGGTGGTGACGGCCAAGGCCAGGGTGCGGGCAAGACGACTCTCTGGTGAGTCTGCGGACGCACCCGAGTTGCGAATTGCGCATCTCAGATGGCGATATATGCGCGCTCGGGTGGCCTCTTACTAGGTGGGGCACATCGATGCTAACACAACGCAGGATGGGTGAACTCGAGCCCTGGATCGACGAGAACTTCGTGCGCAGCATCTGGTACAACATGGGCGAGACTGTCAACGTCAAGATGATCCGCGACAAGTTCTCCGGGTAAGCACGGAATCTACACAGGAAAAAGTCTCCAGGCTAACTACCGCATAGCAGCAATGCTGGATATTGCTTCGTCGACTTCGCGAGCCCTGATGCTGCGTCCAAGGCCCTTAGCCTCAACGGCCAACTGATCCCCAACTCCAACCGCCCGTTCAAGCTGAACTGGGCCTCTGGCGGTGGTCTTGCTGACAGGAGGCAAGTCTCACCCGGCTACCCTCATACGACAGTGATCACTAATGACTCGAACAGCCGCGATGAGCGTGGTCCCGAATTCAGCATCTTCGTCGGAGACTTGGGCCCCGAGGTCACCGAATTCGTCCTCGTACAACTCTTCCAGAACAAGTACCAGTCCACCAAGTCCGCCAAGATCATGTCCGACCCCATTAGTGGTATGTCGCGCGGCTACGGTTTTGTCCGGTTCGCTAGCGAGGAGGACCAGCAAAAGGCCCTCACTGAGATGCAAGGCGTCTACTGCGGCAACCGCCCCATGCGTATCTCCACCGCCACACCCAAGAACAAGAGCGGTGGTCCCGGAGGTCCCGGCGGAATGGGCGGCATGCCTCAAGGCGGCGGCGGCCCCGGCATGGGCATGTACTCCATGGGCGCTCCCCCCATGGGTGGCTACTACGGTGCACCCCAGCCGATGAACCAGTTTACTGACCCGAACAACACCACTGTCTTCGTCGGCGGTCTGTCCGGCTACGTCACCGAGGACGAGCTCCGCTCCTTCTTCCAGGGCTTTGGCGAGATCACATACGTCAAGATTCCCCCAGGCAAGGGCTGCGGCTTCGTCCAGTTCGTTCAGCGTCACGCTGCCGAGATGGCCATCAACCAAATGCAAGGCTACCCCATCGGTAACTCCCGCGTTCGTCTTAGCTGGGGTAGGTCCCAGAACAACTCCGGTCCAGCCGGCACTCCTTACCGCCCTGCACCACCTCCACCAGTTCCCTTCGGCCCAGGCATGGGTATGCCCCCGCAACACCCCTACGGCGGTGGCGGTGGCTACGGCCCGATGATGAAGGTAAGTCAACAAGACATGTTGCAGTTTTGTGTCTGATGCTAACTCGACTGTAGTAAGCGCATTCTTTCCCTCTGTATTGCTTGCACGGCGCTTCTGTCATGGTTCATCCCGTTGGCTTACTGCAACGATCCCTTTCATGACTCGGCATGACGAATTTCGAGCGATTTGGTCTTTAGTTCTATAACGGGCGGTTCTCCAAAAGTTCTCGACTTCTTCTCACGACACTCATCTTGCTGGAGGGCCATAGAAGGGAGTCTTTGTATAACAGGCCATCTATTCTCCCATTCGGGCTTTCTTTCTAAGCGTGCCACTCATCTTTCTGGGAGCATAGGGATGTAGCTAGTCATGCATGGGCCGGATGCTGCTTTCTCTCGACTTGCCTTTTCTTCACGATTGTGCGCTGCTCCTTGCAGGATTGGCCATCATTTCCAATCACACGATTCTTCTATTTCTGCGTGTTTGGTTGCGTGCTTGCTTGCTGGCTTGGTTGATTCGTCTAACGTTCTGTTCCAAGTGCCTTCTAGTCTTTCCTTTGTTAGTTTGTTGTTGGTTCTGTTAGCACGCGCAGAGGCTACCACCTCGTTGCCCTCCTTGGACATCTTGCTAACGTCATTGTGTAGCAACTTTCCCGTCCAGGCTGGCCAGCCTTCCCCTTACCCGCCGTCGATGAACGCAAGCCTCGGTGGCCAGCGACCCGGCAGCCAGAACGCCCCTTCGGCCAACCCTGCCGGCCAGAACGGCACTCCCACGTTCAACAACTACCGCTTCACCCCCACCCAGCCCAACGGACCCAACAGCCCCGGCTTCGGCTCGCCCGACTTTGGCGGTGCCTTCTCGCAGCAATTCCCTCCACCGCAGTAACTGCGCATCGTACGCTCTCGCATTGGTTATACGCATATCAGATACTGTTTTGCCGCTTTAGCAAGGAGTTCTTGGGGCATGAAACTTCATTATCACGACGTGGCTATATTCTTTAACTGGGGAATGAAGGCATAATGCTTTAGCGAGGCGTCTGGCGAACAAGAATTATATGGTATACCCATGCAGCAAGAGAAGGCGTCAAGAGTCTGTTTCATTTCTATCGTGGCGGGAGGTTTGCGTCTTTGCTAGAAGATTGCACTTCTTTTGAGGTTTTGCGTTGAGTTGCTGCGTGCGCTGTGGGTATTTCGGGAGATGTCTATCGAAAGAAACGTCGCAGACTGATGGTTAGTGGGTTCTAGTACAAGGTCGCTGCAAAGGTCCATGGAGGGTACATCACAGACTGACGGACAGTGAGTTTTTAGTAGAAGGGCTCTCTGGGAGATGCTACATGAGCATGCGGCAACATGCGTTCTGATCTAGTCATGCCCATTTTATACAATTCACACTTCATCGCATTTGCACGAACCTTTGACGATGTGAGTTGCCTTGCGCCATGACGTTGCGCCGTGACAATCGTGCCTTCCTCATCACTGGACCTCGGGCGTACCCGCCGTCGCTCAGCCATCAACCCTCATAAACAATGGGCTTCTTCCTCCTCTCCACAAACACACATCCGGCACAACTGCCAATTGCTTGTTGCTCTTTTGGACCCGAACAGCAGCAATCGCACGCCTGCCATGCGCTACGACGATTGGGATGTGATCCTCTTCCCAAAGGACTCTCACGTACCCATACAGGAGTTCAAGACTGCCTGCTATGTCTCACATGAGGAGTGTGAGTACCTTGCTTTACCCCACCTGCATGCAGGCGTCTTATACCTGGGCGTCAATACTGATAGCATGTAGATGGCCGCCAGTTGCCCACTTTGACCTCTTACATCAGCACTCTCCCGCCGTCCACACCGTTCCGTATCTCCGTACACTCATGGGCCACCGCATCGAAAGCCTCAGCACTGATCGAGTCTCGACGAAGGGCGAACCAGAAGGTTGTGTACACAGTTCAGGTCGTCGTTGATGGGGCTAGAGTCTTGTGAGCTTCACACCATGGGCTGTGGACATGGGACCACGATGCTGATTAGCATAGTCGTGGCTTCTTCGACATAACATCGAAATGGCCCCAAGAAATTGGTATGTCACACCCAAGTGAATGCTGCATCACCGTTGGACTAACGATGTGTAGCGCAAGAGAAGAGATCACTCGCCATCAACGAGTATCCATCAAGTCAACGGAAACAATGCCTCGAGTTCCCGCCCTTTCATCAACGGACCCTCATGCAGAACTCATGGAATGCTCACGACCCCCAAGGACGAATAAAGATAATGTTGTCGGAACAATTGATCATGAAGACGACAAGTCCTGGAGAGGTAGATCTTGGCACGACCAACGACATTGTTTGCTTCTCCTTCCAGCATGCTCCAAAAGGTGCGTCGAAGGAACTTATACCCCTCACATATGGATACCTAATAAGGAACAGATGTCCTAGAACAGGCGGGCATCTCATGGCCCATCCGAAACCCTCTCTACCTTCCCACTGCGCTCGAGCGAGCCACGCATCTGTCACACATATCCCCGACAAACTCTCGGACACCGAAGGCCCGGCCCTTCCCAGGCGACATCAACATGCAGTCGCCAATCTCGCAACCATCGGCATCCGCCTTTGCCAGATCGCAGATTCCCTTACCCAATCGACGCTCTAATGCGCATCTGCCCCCTATCTCACAATTCGCAAAGCCACTTCCAGGTTTTAGTAACAACAGTCGCCCGGGCATATGGGATGACAATCTCAACTCGCTTGTAGATTCTGCCGATGACGTTAGCATGGATACATGGTCAACAAGAAGGACGTCGGGCTCGACCAGCGACATGGCCATGCCTGACTACATGTATGCTTCTTCACATCTGTCACGGAAAAGTCAACCATGGATGCCTGAGAGGTCCCAATACGATCAAGGCATTAGTACAGAGTGGGAAGATCATCCGCCGAGGAAGGACAAAGAGAAACAGCTCGTTGTCACCCTTCGAGATGACCAGCTAGGGCAGATCATTCAAGCTATGAGTCCACCAAAGCAGACTCGTGAGCTATCGCATGGATCGGGCAATCAACGCCATGAGAGTGCTGGTCGCCTACCGACGGCTTACAACTACTGTCCCCCAAAGTCAGACATCAATCCACCTATCAACCGCCCGTCGGCGGCCATGGCGCGTAAGTCATCATACTCAGACTTCAACAATGCCCTACGGAACGCATCGAATAAGCAGTCACCAAACAATCAGCGGTTCCACGATGCGATGAATGACAAACCTCCTACGATGAATCACCATCCCTTCTCAAGCAACAAAGAGAATCGCCCGCCTTCGCAATCGCGATTGCCTACTGCGTTTCCAAACGCGAACCGTGTTCCGACTCCAAATCCCTTCGCGCAAAGGCTGCCAACCCATAACTCAGATATCTCCATGAGAGACCCATCTCCGGCACGTTCAAGTATGTATAGGTTCAGTCGGAGCGAAGCGCCACCTCCGACTATTGAGCCCGCTAAGTTTGGGTCAGCTCACGGCCCTTCCGCTGTAAATGTCAGGAGCCGGAAGGAAGGCCTGGCATCCGACTCACCGAGGCTGTCTGAACAAGCAATGCGCCATGATCAGAGCCTGCTACCATCATTGAACTCAGGTCCTCGGACTGCACATATACCCATCTTTGAGGATAAAGACGAATCCTCACACAACACCCAGAAGAACATTCCTGATGTAGTGGAGATCATCGATGTGGACGCCATCGACCCCCATTTACACACCAATGCTTCCTTCGAGAGCAACAAGCTGTCTCCGTTCAAGCCCTGCCACAAGACTGGAGTGTCGCTTTCAAGCATCGACAGTACTGGCCGTCTGGAGAGACAGCTCTACAGCGCCCTTGGTGAAGAACTGGGCAGCTTTGAACACCATATCGACACCACAGGCATGGGACCTGAACTTGCACAAGCACTCGGTGGCGTCGCAGCACACTCCGATGTCAGCGGCTCCGGCATGCTGAACCCAAACGCTCACGAATTTGAGCCAACAATCAAGCGGAAGAGGCAGAGTACTTTGGGTGGCAGTCGGGAGAGAAGTCCGATGACTAAGAAAGAGAAGGCTGACTTGCGTGCTGGCGACGATCAGGAAGAGGTGGTGGTGTGTATGAGGGGGGATTGAGCGTATTGTTAGTTTGACGATGCTGTCTGTGGGACTATGGGTTAGTCTTTTAGCGTTTGCTTTCTGAGCGTTCTAAGCGTATTGTTGTACTTGTTAGTCTTTTGGGGCAAGAGCAGATCTTACCTATTGTCAAACAACCAGTAACTTATATGAACATTGGAGCAAAAGCTGTTTCTCTTAACAACAAAACAACATCACATTGACAAACATGAAGCACACGCTTAGCAAACCTCTTCAATTTCTCAGTCTAATAAACAAAATACCCCTGCGTCAACGGCAGCGTCTCTGCGGGCTCAGCCTCACAAACCATACCATCCGCCTCGACAGTATACCTCTCAGGATCGACCTTCATCTTTGGCTTCGTATCATTGTATTTCATATCCCTCTTACCGATATTCCTACAATTCTTCACAGCCTCGACGCGCTTGCGCAAGCCATAAGACTTAACGACGCCGGACGCAATGGAAGCTTGCGAGACAAACGTGATGCTGGATGAAGGTACCATGGGCGCGAACATGGGGCGCATGATGATGGGCTCGACGGTGGGGATCGAGGCGTTGGGATCACCCTGGGCTGTGTTAGACCTCTGCTTGATAATGGAGGAGAGGATATTGGGGGGAGGCGGAAGGAGAAAACATACCATCTGAGCATACGAGCAAAACCCACTCTTAACCACCAAACTGGGCTTAACCCCAAAGTTCCTCGGCGTCCAAAGCACAAGATCCGCCACTTTGCCCACCTCCACACTTCCCACAAGATGACCCATTCCCTGCGCTATCGCGGGGTTAACAGTATACTTACTGATATACCTCTTCACCCTAAAGTTATCCGCGTCCGTGCCCTCATCTTCCTTGAGCGTACCGCGCTGCACTTTGTTCTTATGCGCCGTGTTCCATGTACGTAGAATGATTTCACCACAGCGGCCCATGGCTTGTGAATCAGAGGACATCATGGAGATGGCGCCGAGGTCGTGCAGGACGTCTTCTGCAGCGATGGTCTCGGCGCGGATGCGGGATTCGGCGAAGGCGACGTCTTCGGGGATGTTGCGGGAGAGGTGGTGGCATACCATTAGCATGTCGAGGTGTTCGTCGAGGGTGTTGCGTGTGTAAGGGCGAGTGGGGTTCGTAGACGAAGGCAGCACGTTGTCGAGTTCGACGACGCTGATAATGTCGGGGGCGTGGCCGCCGCCTGCGCCTTCGGTGTGGTACGTGTGGATGGTTCGCCCTTTGATGGCGGCGATGGTGGACTCGACGAAGCCGGATTCGTTGAGCGTGTCGGTGTGGATGAGCGTTTGGATGTCGTATTCGTCGCAGACTGTCAAGCAGGCGTCGATGGCGGCGGGGGTGCTGCCCCAGTCTTCGTGGAGCTTGAGGCCGCAGACGCCGGCTTCGGCTTGTTGTTGGAGGGGGCGGAGCTCGGCGTCGTTGCCTTTTCCTGTTATGCCGTAGTTTACGGGGAGTGTGTCGATGGCTTGGAGCATTTGTCGGATGTGCGTCTTGCCTGGTGTGCAGGTTGTTGCGTTTGTGCCGGTGCTGGGTCCTGTGCCGCCTCCGAGCATGGTCGTGATGCCTGATGCTATAGCCTCATGTGCTTGTTGGGGACAGATGAAGTGGATGTGGGAGTCGAAACCACCTGCTGTCACAATCTTGTGTTCAGCAGAGATGACATCGGTGCATGAACCAACTATCAGGTTGGGATCCACGCCGTCCATCACATCTGGGTTGCCTGCTTTGCCAATGCCAACGATCATGCCATCTTTGATTCCAATGTCCGCTTTGTAGATGCCAGACCAGTCGATAATCAAAGCGTTCGTAATGACGGTATCGAGCGAGTCTTTGTCTGATACACCACCAGCTTGTCCCATGCCTTCTCTGAGTGTCTTGCCTCCTCCGAAAGCGCACTCGTCGCCGTATATGGTCATGTCTTTCTCAACCTTGATCCAGAGATCTGTTGCACCCAATCTAACCAGGTCACCTGTCGTCGGACCGAACATGCTGATATAGGACAGTCGCTCCATGGTGCAGATATCGATGTGCGCAGCGTCGCCATGCGGTTCAGGCTCGTGAAGGAAGCCACCAGACTTCAATCTCTCCACGATGCCGCTTGCAACCGACATGTCCTCGATGAAGCCCGAGGCGATCTGGTTTCCACCCTTTATGATCTTGTTGCCACCAATCTGTACCAGGGTGACTGTCTTGGTATCGCCGGGCTCGAAGCGCACCGATGTGCCTGCGGGAATATCGAGGCGGTATCCATGAGCTCGTACGCGGTCGAATTGGAGTTGCGGGTTCGTCTCGATGAAGTGGTAATGCGATCCGACCTATATCTTGTGAGTCGCATGCCTGTGGTCGCATGATATTTCCATACCTGAATTGGCCGATCTCCCATACTCTTGACCTTGAGCTTGATCCTCTTGCGCCCCTCGTTCAGCTTGATTATACCAGCCTCTCCCTTGACAGCCACGATCGCGCCTGGCTGCTTCGTGCTCTCGTAAACACTCGAATCGGGTAGTGGAAACATGTCGTTCGATGGAATTGGCAGGAACGATCCGTATAGCGCCTTCTCAAGGTCGCCATCGTCGGTGGACACTGGGTTGTGGACGGTAACGAGGTATGTGCCGGTTGGGAAGGTGCCTTCGACCATCAACTCGCCGAGCGAGGCGACAACAGAGGGCTGTACATGGCGACGACCGAGCATCGTCGTGCCAATGGACATGAGGTCCGCGACCGAGTGGTTTCCATCGCGGATAAGCTGTATGCGTTCAGCATGCGACTGGGTATGCGCGCGAAGTCGGAGGTCGTACTTCCTGGAGGTTGTTCGCAATCAAAGCCTAACAGCATTAGCAGCGTCCACGTGATAGCATGTTGGACTCACGGTAGCTTCAGCATGGTTCAGCTTCACGCCCCTTGCCAGTCGACGTTGCGCAAGGAGTCCGAGCTGCGATATGACGAGCTTGTCAAGCTGTCGCGAGATGGTCAGCAGGGGTCGCACGCGTCAATGGCACCATGTCACACACCTCCTTTGGACACAACTGCATCTTGTATACACAAAAGCAGCCAAGAGAATGAACAATACAACGCGTCTCTAGATTGTATTTGAATCCCCACCATCCTCCAGTCCGACTCTACCGACTCTACCGCCACAGACCTCACCTCTTTGGGCCATGCTGCGGGGTTCGCTTGCGATAAAGACGCGCGCTGATAAGGAGCTTACGTCCGCGGCAACGCGCTCTTAACCTTCATCCAGCGACATCCATGGATGCGATTCTAGGCACATGTACTTTCGCCAGACCATTCAGGTGTCGCGAACCTGCGCGTGCCTGTCGTGGTTCGAGCTAACCTCAGCATGACGTAGGGGTTATTGGTTTCAACACCAGCACCACTGAGACATGCAGATCCACGCCTCATTCGGCCTATGCCACCAACCTTCTTACCTATCTTGCTCCTATCCTACCTGACGCGTCTCAGGCCTTCGTCCCTTCTCTTTTTTCAACACTCCTGCATCGTGTCGCAGCCATGATAAGCCCAGATCCAGACTCACCAGAAATACCGCCGTAGCCGGTAGCGTCGATAACAACGCGGGCACGCACCACATCTTGATACTCTGTGACCGTCAACCCACGCGTCTAGCGAACGCCATCTTCGACATATCTCTACGTTACGATGCACTCCTTGATGCGACATCTGAAGGGAGAGAACGATGAGCCCGAACCTGAACAGCAAACATCTGACCCACCTGTTAAGAGAAGTCGAGTAACGATCAAGCCCCCGCCCAAAGATCCAAACATACCAAGGAAGCGACTTCAAATCAACAAGAAATGCCTCTACGAGCGCCGGCTACCTGGGAACGCGTACATCTCCGCCCATGTTAATCGGCTTCAACACGGCTACTACAGGTCGAATGCGCTCCACGAACCCGACATCAACAATCTCTTCTTCGTTTCGGTGCACTTTGTCTTCCATCCCCATGACCCAGAGTCGCACCGTTTCAAAAGCGCCGAAATTGAAGTCACCGTTCATGGCGACGACGGTGACCCCAACACGCCCCGGAAGCCAGGCGCGTCGCATCCACGGATCCTGAAGCATGCACCAGAGCTGATGTTCGGATCTGTGTCGCCAGAGAACCTGCAGTGGAACTTCAGCTTATCGAGCTCCTTAGGCGTATCGCAGGCGCCCGTATCTGCTTCGCTGAACCCGAAAGCAGCTATGAAGAGCAGCTACAAAGTCTTCCACATGATGAGCATCCAAGGATCGGTGCGATCGAAGCGAAGCCCACACGGATCAGAGTACGATGTCGAAGACGCCAAGGCCGTCTGGACACTCACGGAGAACATGCTCCAAAAATCAGGCTTGCCACGAGAATTCGACTTCGTCCTACTTGTGCAGAAGCCGGAAGATTGCGAGAATATATACATGTCAGTCGACCTGAACGCGGATGTCGGAGCCTGGTACGGCACATATCCCCAGTGGTACACGAATCTCTCCAAGTATATGCCGAATCAAGATTGTATGCTCAGTTTCGAACACGACATTGGGCAGAGGTTCCTTCCAAGCCGGCCAGGACATGGTTTCAACTTCGCCAAACTCATGCATACGTTGGATGAATATGTCATGATGCCAGGAACTGTGTATCCAACACGCGTAAGTTTGCTTACTGAACGGTCTCACGGTCCAAGCTAACCTTTACAGGGTACGCGACAAGGCGAGATCAACAACCCGAATCTGATAGAGTATGAAGCAGCCGATGATGGGAAAGCCATCGAAGCTGCTTCGGCGTCGCCCCAACCTAAGAAGCCTGCCACGCCTCCAAGCAAGAGCAAGTCGCCCCAGGGAGATTCAGATCGACAGCATCGCCATAGTTCGGTGCCAGAGAACGTGAACATCCGTGTTGTGCTGGAGCATCAGTATCCGCAAGGGGTTGACCCGCGACGCTTCTCGTACTCTCCTCTCAGCAACTTGGAGCCTGTGCGGTACCCGTCAATACGGCGGAGAAAGTCAAGG